TGTCTTTTAAGATAACAACCATAGGAGTACATCTATAGTGTTTACTGAGTAGAGCTTTCTTTGTTTTAGAGTGGCAGCTCACTCCAATAAGAACCTGATGGCTGCCAGTAATCTTGGTGTAGTCTTTGGTCCAACTCTAATGAAGTCTAAGGAAGAAAGCATGGCTGCCATTATGAATTTAAAGTATCAGAGTGTAGTTATTGAGCTTTTAATAAAAGAATACCATAAAGTAAGTCCATGCCTGTAAATTGCAATGGATTTCATTGCATTAAGTGCTGTGCTGTGCTGTGCTGTGCTGTGCTGTGCTGTGCTGTGCTGTGCTGTATACCCTACATTGTATTTTGTTTCTTTGCATTATATTTATAGTGTTGTTATTTCTTTTCTATTCAGATATTTGATGTCCCTGAAGAAGAAGAAGTAAATGAAAAGAAGGAAAGTGAAGACAAACCTCCAGTCCCGCCACCAAAGAAGAAGATTTCACAGTCTAGTGAAGGCTCGCAGAACTGTATAGATGGTGGCAAGCCTCCGGTGTCAAGCAAAGGGCATCCTGCACCACCTCGTCCTAACAGACCAGCACCAGCRCCACGTCCAAAGAAGCTAATTCCTTCTACTGGACATGGTAAATAGTGATTGATAATGTTTGTCAAAAATAGAWGAAAGTGTTCCAGTATTGCTTTCATCTAATCATGTTAATACTAACATAATCTAAACATTTTTATGTGTATTTTTACTATTCTGACAACTTATTTAAACWTGAATTGCTTCCAGATTCTGAGGAAGACGAAGCAAGTTCTAAATCATCTGGATCATCAGGTATAGTGATGYTTAGTATTTTTCATATCTTGATGGATGACATTATGACCTTTTGTTGGTTTGATGATTTCATTGGTATTCAGTGCACCCTTCCCGACAACCCCTCCTGCACCTTTCCACAGAGATCAACCCTCTTTGTTTCTGTTTGCAACTGCATTAAATCTGTATCAAAGCATCTGTAAATCCATTTTTTTTTTTTTGACAATTCCTCTCTTATTAAGTGTTATTCACTAGGGCTATTTCGTTTTGTATTAAAATGGTTATATATTGACTAGGGCTATTTTGTTTTTTATTAAAATGGTTAACTTAACGTTTGGCATGTTTTTAGTTGGTAGTCTTCCTTCTTCTGAGAATGTGAGAAGTTCAACAAATGTTCAAATGAGAGGTAAAGACTGCAYTTGATTTTACATACATTCTAAAACATTATAGAGTAAATATTATAACTATATTATTTTATAAATACATCTTTAAATACATAAATGGTGCAAGAGTGCACAATATAGTGGCACATTAAATAAAATACAGTCAAGATATTACTTGGTAGCATCAAGTATTCCTTGATATTCCAGAGAAAACTGGTCTAAATCTAATTCTCAATTAGTGCGTGCGCACTCCCGACCATTAGTGTTTGTTTGTTTTTATTCGTGAATGTAACAAACTTTCATTTGTGAACTGAAGAGGTTTTTGAACGAAACTAGTTTTCACTGAATTTACCGTTTATTGTGTACATTTTAGACTTATAGTAAAAATACTTCACCTTAAATATATTCCTACGATTAATTCTCAATTCTTTGTAGAAAAACCACTTCCTCCTCCTAAGAAGTCTGAAGTTGTGTGAGTATTTTACTGTTTGTATGTCATATATAAGTCATTAGCATGATGGATAATTTTACTAAAACTAACAGAAAGCCTTGCACATTTTCTTTGTTATTCAGATATTTAATCTCTTTGGAGATTAGTAAAACAAATGCGACTAATTACTTTATAAAGGAAAGTGGGCAAAGCATTCTGGTAGTTGTAGTATATGACGCCATCATGCAAATCTATTGGTGTGCTTTTTCAGACTTAAATAATGTGTGTAACAGGTCTTAATCCTCGTTATCTTGCCCTAACATTATAAGATATATCATTAACTTCTATAAAAGTAATCATTATGCATCTTGGATTTTTTTATKGCACAATAATCTAAATAGTGAGCTTAATGTTAATATTGATAGTTATTATTTATTGAATGGTTAGCTAATATAACAAATACATTGTAACAGTGCCGTGCAGGGAAATAACCCAGTTGATATTTGACACAAAATGTCAAGTCAAAACCTATATTGRCTGATTCCGAAAATGGAGGCCAAATTTAAAATGACTTCTGAATCAATGAATCATAAATAATTTCTTTTCTTGGCTTTCTAGCTTTTCATCATAACACTTTATTTCTGTTTCCTGGTTTTAATGTTTAACATTTCAGCACCCTGTCAGCAACYTTTTTTATTTCTACACTGTTTTTAATTGAAAACCATTGTTAAATTTCCATGTTTTGGTTGCTTCAGTGCTGAATTCAGAAATCGACATTCAGCTATCTTCAGTAAYGAGACCAGACTGCCTTTTGCCGATACTCCTATGCGACCTCTTTCTGTGGTGGTTAAGTCATTCAATTTGTAAGTCCAGTAACAGAACAACTGCYGAAAGAAATKGTGTTTGATTTTACAGTTTTGTGATCATAATTTGATTGATTAAATTAATAGACCAATAGTTCAAAACAAAATGATTATCTTGATTCATGCTGTTGATTGATTGAATCCAGTTGATTAAATRAATTAATAAAAAAAATTGAAATGATTTTATAATTATTGGTGATTCCATCATGATTCTTAAATTTGAAATAAAATACCAAATTTGAGATTATTACCATGAGTAAATGAATRATTTAATGCACTCCATTGGGTATGATTTTGATTAATTATTAAAATTAATTGATGATTGATAAATGATTTGATTTGATTTAATTGATTGTGGGAAAAGATGACATTTGAGTGCATGTTAAGTGTTATTGCGTGTTTCACATTGAAATGTCCTCTGTGGCTGCTTAACTACTGCTGAATCACTCATTGTTCTGACATACATAATGACATACGCTATGTACAGTCATCTGCAAAGATTCTGACTGCTAGCATATGATACAGGAGCGGTGGAGCGTYTTTGGCCCTGGGGGATAAGAAAATTAATTAATATTGTAGTCAAGAAATCCTTTTTTATTCATCAAGCTTTCATTTTGCAGTAAACATAACTGTCAATGAATTACATTATAAGAAAATACAACCAGCTTTTATCATGAATCAAAATTAAATTTTTGAAAATACTGGGGGGGTGGGGGGATGCAGCCCCCACAGCCCCCTCCCTGGTTCCGCCGCACCTGTGATATGGGGTGTGTCATTTATCATATGCAATAACAGTAGTGATTTTTTTGTGTATGTGTTTTTTTAACTTAGATGTTATTTCTTGTGAATAAGAATACCATCCATCACACCATCCATGACGTTTAATTTCACTGCCTCTATTTTTTTAACCAAGTATTGTTGTTTGGATAGGAATAATGTGGTGATTATTGGGTACATTTTGTTTGATTTAGGAATGACGAAGTTGGTAAACGAGGCAGTAAAAGTGTTGATGGGCTATTCAAGTCACCTAGGTCRCCAAGAACAACTCCACCACCTTTACCTCAGACACCACCTCCTGCAGAACATAATTTAGTTCCTCCTCGAACACCAAGGTTACTACCCCAAATTCTCAACTCTAAATGAATTAGTAATTGTTTCTTGTGTTATGAAAACATAGTGAGTACATAGCCATGAAAAGAGGTACAGTATTAGAAGACAATTTTAATATGTGATTTGTTTTCCTTCGTACAGAAAAGCACGAAGTTTGTATCCTTGTGTTGCAGAAAACACTTCTGAACTGTCCTTTGAAGCAGGAGCTGTAATATCAAATGGTAAATAAAAACATTTTGAAGTTTTTCAGTCATGCAACCAATCTGTGGACTCATTCCTCCATTTGTCGCATCCATCTTTTATTACATTCTTTATTTCATATGTCAATACTATTTCATTTCTTTATTTTTCAGTTCGTGAATCGAAAGAGCCAGGATGGTTAGAAGGAACAATAAGTGGGAGAACAGGACTTATCCCAGCAAATTATGTTGAATATATAACTTAATTGAACKACAATCAACTAAATGGATATTAGCATTAATATATATAATATCATTTATAATAACTAGTACAAATTTTAATAAATCAAATGTTAGTAGTTCACAGCTGATATGCCACTCACGGAAGATGATAACGAGCAGCACTGACTATAATGTACTTTGACCTTTGCAAAGAATTATATGTTAGCACTCAATCTGTGAAACATTTAGTAAAGTAGTGAAATTATTGCTTATGAGACAAGGGAAAATAGAGAATTTTAGTATTGCAGTTAGTGCTATTTAGTACTTTCACAGATTTAACGCAAGCATGATAGGGTTTGTTATACCATGCTCTTCAAATGAGTCTAATATTAGTATGCTATAATGGGTGGGTAGAATGATATTCAATTTATCTTTGCTGAATGAAAATAGACYATTTGTATCGACTTGCTCRTCATCTTGAATTCCACTTGTTTTCTGTAAGAAGTATGGGAAGTCCAGAAGGCAACAAAAAAATAGAATTAATTCAAAGCGAAAARTAAGAACTAATTGACCACAAGTAATTCAAAATGACAGCTATAATAGTAAACAAGGTCTATTGAAATAATATTGTGTTAATTGTATCATAATGATAAGCATTTATCCACAAGTATTGAGAATTGATATGTAAATATATATTAGATGAACAGGATAATTTATCGTGTGTAGTTTTTAATGATTATGTAGATCTATGACCTTTTATCTAACTTTTTACTTTTTTATTGCYATATAGTACTTTATTTTGTTGATAGCTTGAGCTTTGTGTGTAGAAAATTAGTCTTCTTCAGGCCTGCCTTGATTTTGGTTTTGCCACTTTGTATACAGTATATGAAGAAACGCTTCGATTTTTTTTGTGTTGATGTTAAAGAGTAATGGACCCTTTGCTAATAGGGATTAAAATAAAACCAAATAATAATAATCTAACAATGTGGTCTTATCAGCCAACTGGTGAACAATTGCCCTATGTCATRATTACGTCACGCTAAAATATTCTATTAAGATTATGGTCACCAGAGGAAAAATAACTTCATATCAAATAAGAAATATTGATGGTGGTATATATCAAAACAAGATAAAATTAAAGTTTTACTTTCTAAGAGAATATTAACAGATTCCAATTTCCACTGCAAACATGCTGTGACGTCAATATGTAATGGGGAAATTGAAGCAAAAATTCAAATTCTGCAACAATATATATCTGATATATCCTATCTCCCTACTAAAAAGTGTTGTTGAACCCTGAAAAAATATAGCTTTGTAAAACCATATAATATCATGTAAATTAATAAAGTATAGCTGAAAACAAAGAAGTAGAGAGATTAATAAATATCATAGTATTTGTAGTTATGGTCTGACGATTTCATGGCAAATAATTCAGAAGTGTCCTTTGCAGAGGAAAAGACAAGAAAAGTGCTTCGAAAGTTTTCTTGTGACGTTTTAATTCGTGTAACGAAGCGCTTTCAAAGCGCTTACATGGAATTCCTAGTTGGTATTGAATTCATCTATTTTATATCAGGAACGACTCTTGCGGAAATATGTCGATTGTGGCCTTTCATATTTCTCTAGTTCTATATTTGAATCACCAAAATCTGTTCATATGGTTTACTATTTTAGTCTAAGCTTACGTGATACTTTTAAAGAGGGAGAAAGGGGGCAGTGATCCAGCCCTTCTCCTRRASCTGCCAAGCTGGCTACTAAAATAGTTTTGCATAAGAAAAATTTTAACACCATAAAGAAAGTAGGTGAAAGAACTTGATCTATAGACTACTTGCTGAGAAGGATGCATGAGATGCCGGTATTTGTTTCAAACGTTGTAATCCCAAGCTGCGCGCTCACAAAAAGTACGGCTATCGTGGAAACTATCGCGGTTAGAAGATCCCATAATTAAATTTTTACTCATGACATTGCCCGCTCTCTGCGCACTTTTGTTACGGTGAATGACGCTGATTATTAGGATGGCAGCCGTGTGCTATCGTTTTCCTTTATAAGCTAAATATTCATTGTTTTTCATTTTCATCATAGTATCTCACCACGATGCTAGGAAGTGATTTGAAAGAAGAGAAAAAAAAGAAATATGAAAAAGAAAAAGAAAACACGGTTATTTTGAGACTCGAACCAGTGGACTGAAAATTCNAAAAGCTCATAATTTCTCCTATAAATATGCATCAAAGCTGCTTCAACAGCAAAGATTTAATGCTTTAAGAAATAATACAGTATAGTACACTGAGGTTTGTCGTGGTTGCTGTTAATTGTTCCATGCAGAATCAAGTTCATTCAGTGAAAACTGTTTCAAAAGCGAAAACATGAAAATATTGTATTATGCTGCATAGCATTTGAAATGTGTAAAGGCCGATTTACACGGCACAATTATCGCGCGCGACTTGTCTTATACAACTATTTTAGCTCAGAATCTTGTCGTGTAAATGGTCCTACAACTTTTCTACGACAGTCGCACAAGACGTAAAATTTGTCGTAAACGAAGTATTCATAGCTCCATGTGAGTTTCGTTCTTTTCCATTCTTCTTGTAACAACAAAGCGAAAAACTCTCATCGGGTTTATTAAACATTCTCCACGTCCAGATTCCAACATGCAAATCCTTACACGTGCTCTTTTTTCTCACGTTTTGATTGGTTCAAATAGAATATTCTACCGCATGCGATTGGTTGATTATCAATGTCAGTTTGAGTATAAATACGAGTGTGCCCATGTGCTTACTTCACAAACTGCTTCATCTAGTCCTATATCGTAGAGAGAAGTTTAATACAACGCTTAGTTACAAGAATTACAATGTCTGGAAGAGGAAAGGGTAAACCTAAAGGAACCAAAGCAAAGAGTCGCTCTTCAAAAGCTGGGTTACAGTTCCCTGTTGGCAGAATCCATCGYTTTCTAAGGAAAGGCAACTATGCGCAAAGAGTTGGGGCAGGAGCGCCCGTTTACATGGCGGCCGTATTGGAGTACTTGAGCGCTGAGATTCTCGAATTGGCTGGAAATGCAGCAAGAGATAACAAGAAGACAAGAATTGTTCCCCGACACATTCAGTTGGCCGTCAGAAACGACGAAGAATTGAACAAGTTGCTATCTGGAGTGACGATATCTCAAGGCGGCGTGTTGCCGAACATTCAAGCCGTTCTGTTGCCAAAGAAAACTGGGCAAGGAAAAAGCAAGAAAATGGATTCTGTACAGAGCCAAGAATTTTAGAGATTTATACTCGTCCAGTCATTTAGAATTCGAAGATACGAAGCAGATTTATATATTCTTGTACAAAYGCATTTTATCACTTGTATATTATTTTCATTATTAGAGTTTTGCTTATAAGTTGTAATAAAATCTTTGCGAAATGGTTGTGTTAGATGTTAATGTGTTAGATTTTAAGACCACTTTTAAAGACGTCGAATAATCATGGAGGGAATTATTGTCACGCATAACACCGTCATGGATTGTACGCCGGTWATTTTTGTCGCGGTATTCCACGGATTTCTCTTGAAAGAAATTATTGCGGCTGAAGTTGAAGGGTATTAATCGAGCTATTTTTTTCTTTCTAAAATCTTGCTTGTTCTGTTTCTTCAAGGTGCTTGTTTCGGATATGAGTTTTCATTGTCACTTTTTGTCAAAACATTAGTTGAAGTTTGATTCCAGTTGTTGCTATGGAATTAGCGAACGAAGTATCAAGTAGCCTATACAGCTGACGATTCCTTTTGCATAAAAGGGGGGCCACCAGGTGATCTCTCAGGTTTTTGCATTGACTTTGATCTCAGCTGGACAGTATTCTTCGTTTTCACTGTACGTCACAGCGGCCATCTTGGAGGAATTCCAACAAAAGATTTCTCATTAGTATCTATTGTTCATTCATCCAAGATGGCCCCCGGTCWTTTATCTTTTGAATCTCATGGGAATGGCTGAAAATGATTAATATAAAATTAGACAGGATGATGAYAAGGTAAGTAATGATGAATACTGTTTGCAGGAGCATTTTACTCRGAGGATGCATGATTTTTTTTTAAATATTGAATTGCATGTCGCAATCAGCCATCACTAAATAGTAGAACTTATCCAGATACTCAGTTTGACCAAACATGAAAACACATGTTACTTTGCATATATGATGAAAATATTTTTATTGGTTAAAAATTCAATAAGATATTACTAAGAAAAAATAAGATTTATTTAAATTCCTTTCTGTATRCCTACAAAAATGTTCAAGATTATATGAATTATACAATATCTAGTAACAAATGATGTCGGCATTTATAATGCTACTCACTATCTAGCAGAAATTCGACTTATAGTCTAGTTACATCATTATYAAAATTGAATAAAAATTAGACTATGAAGAAGACTAGGTAAGCTTTCTTCGTGCTTCTTTAAGTTAACAATTCCTAAGTTATTCATCTGTTTAGTAATGCTACTAATTCTTCGTATTTTCATGTGAAATACAACGTCTGACTAAACAAGCCTTTTCATCGACACAAACAGTACTGTTCACATTGCCGTGCTACACATCGGGATAAAAACAAAAATTGACAAAGAGACCAATGAAGTGGAATAATTATTATTTTATTTTACTCTCATGAATATCCTCTATTCATTTCCTTACGCACATCCATATTGAACTATGCTGTTCACCTGTGAAAAGGCTTCTTAGTTTAAACTTATAATGCTGAATCGAGGGTGCAGCGTACAAATGACCTTTTGATTTTGAGGGCGGTTTGGATCGAAGAGACATTCACAACACAAATGCTTCACACTTATTTGAACACAATATCTTTAGGACCAGAAGAATTGCCGTCAGACYGTTCTTCTTGATCATCAATATTCTGATAGCCCCTTCTGGTTARAAAATTACAATGGCCACCGCAGTAGTTTCTTATAGCTGTACGGTAGTGTATTASAGTCAAAATTATCAACACCACCAGATAAACCATTGGAAGCCATGCAAGAACTTTAATGGCAACTTCTAGACCTTTTCTTGTGCTGCTAGAAGCCTCAGAGTTGCGAGAAGAGCTCATGATTGTCATGAGACAGAAGTCTGTAAGTATCATAGTGTCCACCATATTCAACCACTTMAGATTGGAGTCGGTTTTATATGGTTGAAAAAAGACAAATATCACAAGAGACAAMACAGTAAGCAGTTCAAACCAGCATCGTTTGTATGGGCCTGGCTCCGAGCGTATTGAAGTAACCAGAAGGAATATAATTCGCCATATGAAGTAATAAGCTGAAAAGCGTCCATACCCATCGCGAAAACAATGATCAAAGATATCATACAGAGCCCGGAAGTTTCGCATAAATGCGAACCTTCGCACCAAAAACGATCTCAAAAGAAGTGATACTGGTAGAGCTATCACAAAAAAGAGAATAACTAGAATAGCAACAACAAGAAGAAAATAGTATAAAGGAGGGATAGCAGGATCGGAGACACCGCTTCTAGTTGCGTAAATGCTACCTTGAACTATAAGAACGTCAATATTCGAGTCGATTCTCACCCACCAGCAGACGTGAAATGAAATTAGAATCATATTSGTGTAGCACAAGACAAGAATAGTAGAAATAGCACGGAAGACATTAGTTCTTTCAAAACAATTTTTACCTGTACAACGTGTGTAGCATTTGGTAATCTGCGAGATAACAAYCACTACCAAAAGAACATAAAATGGAAAAAGGTAATTAAAAACCAACTTTGTAATGTTGTCCAAGCCCTTCATGAAACAGCTTAAATGGGCGCCTTCTATTTTCCAGGAAACAAAAGCAAGAATCATCTGCATTCCCTTATCAAACTGCTCTTCCGGTTGGACAACAATTGGAAGAATTTGATAAAAATACAACCATGCATTCAGATACGAAGTGAATATGTCGACATTGATATGAAGAAGAACAAAAACAACTAAAGGAACAATAATTAGGAAGACAGGAAGGCCCCAATATATATCGTAGCCATGCTCCTGACATTCGGCATCAGCAGTACAATTCTCATTACCTAAAGATAACGAATAATTATTCTTGCATGTGCCGCAAAGAATAACATCGGCAGACCTGTTGGACGCACATATAGTAGCTTTATCATACATAAAGTCAGTCTTGTTTGGATCAAATGTGCAATATCCCTTTGGACATGGATACGTTATAAAGTCCATTTTATTTTCACTATTTGGGACTCTTCCTCCCCAGTAACCCATCTTTAAATAAACATTTYTATTATCTTCTGAGCAATGCGATACCCCTTCATGATGCTTCTCTGTTTCGTCCATACACATACATTTGTCTGGGAATYTTTCTGTTTGTTCAAATCCATCTYTGCAAGAATKAAGTGCCAAGTTMTGAGAAACAATTCTGACAACTTGTCCATTTGTAGTAGAGATTTCTAAATCAAAGCTCTGTGTTACAGGGCCTTTAATTCTAAGTCCAGGAACAACACTCTCTGTTGAATTGTCKTGTTTAGATGTTTGTACTAAAAACAGYGATGACCTGGGAAGAAGAGACACAGCTCTTGATGACTGTTTCTCAGTACTCCTCACTGAAATTTTGACAACACCAGAAACAGTACTGTGCTTCTCATCAAGAAGGWRGATCGATGCGTTAAATTCTTCGTAGGGTGCAAGATTAGACCATTCTTGTTTTTTGAAATGGATTTTAACAGGATCTGTGGAAATCTCATCTTCTACTTTTCCAGTAATGTTAAAAATGACAATTTGTTTCCATTCAAATGCAGTATTAGACCCACTTTCCTCGCCAAGGAGATAACAAGATTGCAAAGTGGTTGCATACACAGAATTTCCACAAAATAGTGGAGCAGTATTGTGGATAAATTCAAGTTTTGTTTTCCATTTGTTCACCTCATAAATGTCAATCAAGTGGTTATCATCATCGTAAACTATAAAACATTGGTGTCTTTGCAACTTTGTAGTGTGAAATGGAGTAACCTCGGGTCCAGGTGCCCTAATGTACCATGCACCACCTTTTTGCTTTGCTTCATTATATGMAAACAACACATGAGAATCTTTGGTCAATATTAGCTTTGCATTACCATAAAAGGCCAGTGCTCCACCCATAAAACCTTTGTTATCCATGAAGTTAACTTTACCTAACACTTTCAAGGGTGCGTTATCCAATAGGAAAGCAGTATTTGTATTGTTCCTAAATGTGTTATTTCCTCGCAATATAAAAGGTACTCCAGATGTATAGACAGCGCCCATACCTGTCACGTYATCTTTTATTGCAACATTAYCATGGACTGAACAGTTCTCAAGTTCAATTGTGTATGCAATCTCATTTCCCATACCCCTCCAGTTATTCTCATTATTTAAGGCAACRCTAATAGCAGATCCCATTGTGGCCTTGTTGTCTTGAAAAATGCATTCTTTAAAGCAAATTCTTCGAAAATCTGTAGTATTTACTTGGTTGTAGGTCCATCCATAGTGTGATATCCCCCCTCCTATAGCTGCAACGTTGTCATTAAATACATTCAATGCATGTTCTATTTTGTTCTCTTTTAGTGCTGCATATGGTYCTTCAACTATGTTGTTTCCAGTCCTCACAGCACCACCACCAAACTTTGCCTGATTTTTCCAAAACGTAGTGTTGAARACCAAAATAGAATTTCCCTGGGCTTTATTGTGAAATTCTGCAAACATGCCTCCACCCCATATTGCTYGATTTTYTTCAAARTGACAAGARTCWAYAGCAAACCTGTTGTTTTGAGCAGATCCACAAACAATCAGTGTCAAACCTCCTCCCCATCCAAAAAATGAAGGAGTATCAACATCAGGCATTAACTKATACTTATAACGATTTGATTTGAACTTTGAGTCCTTGAAATTGTAGCTGTTATAACTGGAATATGTTGTGTTTTCTTTTATAAAAGGGTAAAGAGATCCATATTGTGTGAAATGTACCAATATACCACCACTGCTGTTATGAACATTGCTGATAGGACTCTCCAAGACTCCGTTATGCATAAAGGCGGAATTAAAGACATTAACAGTTCCACCAGTATCATACATCACGACTGCAATGCCACGACTATTGYTGAATGTACAAAAGTCAAGCTCTACATCTTTACAATAAGTAAACACCATTCCAGCATAAAACTGGTATATAGAGCTGTTGTTATCAAGTGGCGGTGCCTGTGTCACATGACTGCAGCCATCAACGCTCAACTGTTGCAACTTAATACCCTCACTCATCTGCCACGAAATTCCAGACTCATTCGCTGACGAATTGCATTTGATATAAACTTTGCCTTGGCCAACAATTGAAATGTTCTGTCTGTATTTGATGCTGTAGACTTTATCCAAGAAGTAGGTTCCGTTCTCTAGTTCAACAAATGTTGAGTTATCTATCTTGTTTTCCAAAACATAAGCTAATGTTTTGCAAGGTATCGAGAAATTGKACAAGCACGAGTTTGTATCGTTGCCTGATCGCGAGGAAACTTTGATGTGATGATTCCAGCTGGAAACCACGACAAAACATGTTAATAGAAGAAGGAAAAAAGCGGATATGTGCTTGTGCTTATCAAACGCCATAATGAATAGTCAAACCGGAGATTTAAAGTCACGAGACTTTTTCTACGTTTATGCAGCCAAAAATACATTTCTCGGAACAAATGACAGTAACTGCCAGGCGTTCTATGTAATAGTAGGTCTGGAAACGATTTTTCCAGAGGACCTCTGGCTTGTGAATGGCGAGCACATGAAAAAATAATTATTTAAGACTGAAGTCAAAAAATCCGTGAAAATACATTAACGCACTTAATTAGCATGCTCTAACTGCATTGTTTTCTGTCCATTTGTGTCCATACCGCTACTTCTGACTGCGTTCCATTCGTTGGGCTTCCTGTGTTGAGTTGATTTCTGCTTTAGTGCCAAAAGTCTGAAATATTTCATCAGAATTTTTAAAAATAATCGCTACCTCTGTGAATGTTTGTACGCTTCAAGGTCGCCTTCTTCTTGGTGTGCATAATACCGATCATATTTTTCATCGTAATATTACGAAAGATGTCTTTTCAACTCAAACAAATCCATTTTGTTCGGCACGCCGAGTCCACATTCAACGAAATCCATCACCGCAACACTGCAAAGCCTGCTCCTAGAGACCTGTCTTTAATAGATGCTCCATTGTCCGCTAAAGGCGAGCAACAGGCTAAGCAATTGAAAGAACAGATATCTAAGCTTAATGTAGACCTTGCAATATGCTCTCCTTTTCAACGAGCCATGTCGACTTGTTTATTGGCCCATGGAAGTCGTAATGTCCTCATATCTCCCCTTTGTAGCGAAAGATTAGAGTCTGTGTGTGACATTGGAACTACTAAAGATGTATTAGTAAAAAACTACCCTTATTGGGATTTTAGACTCGTTGAAAACAATGTTTGGTGGTATGTTGGGCAACAAAACATCACGGATCAAGAGTCAGCTATAAAATGGTGGCAGAGTGATGATTATTCTGTGGAATCGGATGAAGTCTTGAAGGATAGAGCTAGTAGATTTTACCATCTTCTTCTCTCAAGACCAGAGAGAAGTATTGCAGTTTTTTCACATTCCCATTTCCTTAGGAAATTTTTACGTTGGCACTTTGGAGTTCAAAATATCAACATTCAAAATGCAGAGGTGGTTTCATTACCATTGCCTAATAATAACTGACACATGGTTACTTAATTCTTACTTAATGCTTAAAGTGTGGTCATATTGCAATATTGCACAATGCTCAGAAACAGTGGAAATTTGATTTTTACTGTGAGATATACACCTACTTGCGAAAACGTTGTCATAGAAAATAGGACATTTGTATTTAGTCAAAAAGGAATAAATTAAAAAAGACAAAAGAAGATCACTGAGGCTTAACGCTTTCTTTTGTCTTGTTTTAATTTATTCCTTTTAACAAATGTTCTATTTTCTGTGACAACGTTTCTGCAAGTAGGTATATATACTGGAATTCGTTTCTTAAAATGTTTTCATCGGTGTTTATTTTGAAAGTGTTCTGCATTGCCGGATCTTGCTCTTCTTTCGTTGATAATATTAGTGATATTTTAACAGTATGAAAGGAAATAAAACGCAGCATATTGTGAAGCCATTTCAATTGTCGGGTCAGTTATTTTTGACAATTAGACTAAAACTAACAGGAGTGTTTCAGCTAAAATACCTCTCAGAATGATGGAAAGTGCACCTGGGCACCTCAAAATTGCAAGATTTTCCAGAGGACATCCCTGAACCCCCCTAGTTTGCAACCACCTCTGGTGGTTTTTATGGATCTTATCTACTTTATGATTGCTTATGTGTATTTTAGGTGATATGTAGTCCTGTTCTCCTGGGGTGACCATAATTCTAAGCAAATGAACAGTGCAAAATAAACAGGCAATTTATATTATTCAACCTGCTTTACAATGTAGTAGTGTTTACTATAATTTGTATAAAACAGTTAATCTATTAAAAATGATCATTGATACATGGCATATACTTTATTCAAAATTATTGGTTCTTGCTGTACAATTTCATTAAGTCAAATAAAAAGATTATCATACAAAAAATGATCATTAAAGTTAATTTAACACATTGTTATATATAATACATTCAAATAAAATCTGGCAAACAAACTTATAATTGTCAAATAGACATAAATATATCTCTAAAGTCAGGTTTTCACTTAGTGATGCAAGTACAGAAGCAAGAGAACAAAATGAAAGAGGCCTACTTGTTTTTTGTTTGTTTGTCGTTGTTTTTTTTTTTACTCCAAACAAACACTATGCTTCCATATGCAACTGCACTTGCAACAAGGCTTCATTACAGTTTTTACTTCACAAAACTACTACATGAGCACAAATTGCTTGTTTCTGTACAAATAATTTTTTGGGTTTACTGTTTATGGATTTACTGCGGATAATCAACATCATCTTCACGCAAAGAAAACTGTCATATTTCAGTGATTTTGAAATGATTCCTTGATTTGCTTTCAATTGTTTGACATGTCCTCTTTACAAAGTAACTTGTTGTTTTCTCAAAAGCTGATTATCTCAGCCAATATTGATCATGATAATCGCTAAGGATAGGCATTGAGGCTTTCATATTCACACATATTAAAATATTTTATGCTCAATAGCATTGTTTTCAAGTTCGTGTTTCTTTGACCCCTTCATCTTTGGCTTCCATGATAGCTGGAAGGTGCTGTACATGACTTACAGGATGAAGCCATGACGTCTGCTGTGTAACATGGCTGAAATTAAAGTATGAAATTTAATTTTCTACCACATTATGTGATTTCTCACATGCCAGTCAGATATTTTGAGTGCACCAATAAATAGGCATTCACATTGCCGACACAAATCAAGCATGAACTCAGTTGAAAGAACATATTTGATATTTTTTGACTAAAAATGCAAACAGTTTTTCAAATGTAGACCATTTGTTTGACACATTCATGAGTTACCAGTGGCAGTACTCTCCTCCTGTTTCAGTTTTGGGCTTCCTGTCCCTACCTCCGTTTTCGCTTCAGGCTTCCTGTCCCTCCTTCCGCTTTCGTTTCAGACTTCCTGTCCCTCCCCTCAAGCCCGAAACGAAAATGGACTAGTGGCAGCAGATGATGAAAATTTATGGGATGGTACAGCGGCATTAAACACACTGCCAACTGCATTGGTACAAACACCTGCATGGACATTTTGTATATTATGTTTGCCCAAGATAATATCTAAAGGAGTCTTACTTTATATAATATCGAACACCATCAGGAGTATAGGCTTCTTCCCAGCCAAATGGTAACGCTGTAAAAGAAAGAGCTATAATCATTCCATATCCTTAATCAATAAATAATCAAGATTTGGTGATGTTCATTTTGTGACGGGGTCAACTTACGTTCTTCTTCAATCAACGCCTTGACAGACTTGACAACCTCTCTTGCTTCTTTGGCTAATGTAGAAGGGTTATGCTTGGCATGTCGTGAAAGGTAAGATGGTGGTCTGGAGCCTGCTGTGTCTCTTTTTGCCGGTTCACCTCTTCCTCTTTGCTGTGGTCTGACAAAACCAACAAATGTGGTCAAAAAATGATTGATGAGAAGATTGTGATTTCATTAATAAATATTTATCAATGTCAAAACATGCTGATTTCTTTACTAATGATGATGACTGTTATCAATGATGATGTCGCTAATGCCTAAAATTTCACTGATGATGTCATTACTGGTAATGATGTCACTGAAGATGTACAAAAACAACAATATTTTTTTCATGGCAAATGACAGTTCTACTCACAATTCATTTCCACCTCTTGAAAGAACATCATGAACAAGCTGAGAAAGGAAAAAGAGTGAGTGCTATGAAACTATATCTCACTTTTTCATTGCTTTTTAACATTACCTCTGCAAATTTGATCAGTTTTTCTGTCGACACTTCATACGTTCTCTTGCTGACTTCAGCTTTTCGTAGCTGACAGCCAAGAACAACAAGTCTCTTTTGAAGTTCCTCTAGGTCTTTCTGAATGATAGAATAAAAAGATGTATTCACGGGCGCAAAAACGCGCCACAATCATAGACGTGTGCAAAAACGACCTACACGTAAACATGGCTGGAAAACGCGCATACAAATGCTCAGGCGCAAAATGGCACTACACGTATACACGGGGGCAAAAACGCATCGCACATGCACACGGGCACAAAAAAGTGTTGTACGTATACGCGCTCGTAAAAACGTGCTATACGTATACACGTGCGTAAAACGTGGCTGAACAACGCGCTTATGCCCAGGCGCAAAAACGCGTCACACATATATACGGGCGGAAAAAAGCATTATACGTATATACGATCGTAAAAAAGTGCTACATGTATACGGCCGCAAAAACGCGTCATACGCACATACGGGTAAAAATCCGCGATATTATACGCGGGCGCAAAAAAGGGCAAACAAGCAAAGATAATTAACTTACAGGATCTGGACCTTTTTGYGCGTTTTTTATTTTTAAGTCATCAACTTCCTTTTCTAGTAGCTTGATTACCTGAAAAGAACAAAACGTTATCTCAAAGACTCAAAGCAATTTATGTCCTTCAGTTCAGAGCGTTCAAACCTCTTCATAGTCTTGTTCGACACTTTTGGACGYTTCTTGGGCTTGTGATGCTAAGTGAATGCGATTTTGAAGTGACCTACTTTCTTCCAAAAGTTCTTGTGTTTTCTAGAGAAAATAACAATGAAATTCAACAGAAATAAACTCCAAGTAATTAGTAAACCACTTGTTTTGTACGATACCAACAGAGTTGATGTTTATAACAGGTAGTTTTTAATTGATCATTAGACACGAACGGACACGAATATAATAAGCGCGAAAAAAAGACGCTAACAAATTGTTTTATGTTTTCTTCAATCTTCAAAACCTCGATCAATACTATAAAACTATCATAAATGAATGATAATTTTACCTTTCGTATTCTTTTAACTTCTTCCGACGATTCAATACACTGCTGATCTTTTTTCTTTAGTGCTTTTCTAAGATGTTGCACTTCTCTTAAAGCTTCATCTCTTTCTCTTCGTAGCAACTCAAGGTCTTCTGAGGTTTGCCTGACGACTGCTTCAGTTTCAGCTGCTTGTTGGGCTTCTAACTGTTGCATCTGAGATAAATTMAATTATATTACTTTTTGAAATAAAGATATTATTATTATAATGTAATAATTAATCGGCACAATCAGGTTTTTCAGAAATGTCGAGTTTACCTTTTGTTCCATTGCGTTAATATCCTGTATCGCAAACTGGAAGGCTGAAGTGTTTAAGTTGGGTTCATTAAGTTTTACAGCGAATATTTCCCTTGAAGCATTCACGAATTCTAAAAGAAAAACATTTACCATTTAWTCATTCATTGGACTTGAATTTTTAKCTAACTTCAAACATGATTTTTGTATTTTATTAATACCTCCATACGTCGTGCAACCATTATGATCTATAGGTAGTCTAAGTCGTAACATTCTCTGTTGTTCCTCWGTCGGATCAAAACCAAGGTACCTCAATGCCTACAAGAAATCATCCATTATTAATCTCAAACAAACACTCAACACCAAACTTCAAATGCTGAAATTCAAATTGAGATAATTAAGTTTACCACTTCAAGTTTTTCGACTTTTATTTTGGTGTAAGGATCGAGGGATAATTTTCTGGAGCTTCTTTCGGCTCTTGTTCTTCGCTGTTTCTGTGAGTTAATTGAAGTAGTAGGGGTGCCATTAGTATCCCTAGGGGGGGTGGCCTGTGTTCCAGACGATGGATATTGCTCAGATACTCTTCTTAAMGCTTCTAAGTCTTGTTGTAGGTAGAACGGTACCGATGACGGCTGCAGCGATGGTGCAATAGGACTAATAGTTTCATTTTGTTGTTGATATGTCGCCATTGCTGGGTTGTAACCTGCAGAAAGAAGACAGTATATTGACGTTTTGGCAGAATTCTATATAAACTCCATTGACATGGTCTGAAATGCTGCTTTAACGGATAAATAACTCAGTAATAACAATAATTATTATCATTTACGATCATTTCAATGCATCAATTCTCAAATAATATTGCACACAAAATCACCAATATTCTTAACCAAGTCTATCACGTGTGATTTTGGCGCGAAATCAGCACGTGCCAAAAACAGCCGACTACGAGTCACAAACTGGACCATAGTGCCAGTGGCTTGTTTTGCAACAAGTCGACAAATAACGCTGTCTGCACGCAAAAGCTTTGTTAAAAAACAACGGGAAAAAGGAATTTTTTGTGCGTGGATTTGCCTCACCAGTGTAAATCGGGATAGAGTACATATAAATAAATATATGATAATATTTCAAATAAAATAATGAATGAAAAGTTCCTGGATCGGGAATCGAAAAAAAAAAAGATCATAAGATCAAATTAATACGAATCAACATTCTGGTTATAAATTGAGATGTATAGTCGAAATTTTTTATACACTTTTGAAGAACTATAGTGAAAAATGTAGAGTGTTGCAAGATTCACTTACCATTAGTGTGTCCATAATAAGGCATTGCGGGCAGCGAGGTGCCATTTGGTAAACTTGGGCCATTCGGTGTTGAAGACATGGTAGGATGAAAACCCTGACTTTGAGGGGGCATGGCGCCATTACTGACGGAACGAGGTAGGCTACCCCCGTTTGTTATATATGGATGTGGAAGATATCCCCCTTGGACATGACTGATGGGTTGTGGGAAGGTGTGTGGTGAGGCATACGATGTCAAAGGAATAGTTTGTGGGAGTCCATTAGAAAGATATTGAGTTCTTGAACTTGTACGGTTCATTCCAACTAAACTATCACCAGAAGAGAGTGGCATTTCACTTAAATAGCCATTAAGCTCGCGTGTGCTTTCRAGAGACGATCTACTCGACAGCTGAGGCGACTCATGTTCTTCTAGTTCCTCTTCCTGACCGTTTCCAGAATTGTAGGTGCTTTCTGGTTGAGTTGAAGGTACGTAGCCGGTGTCACCGCCTCGAATAAAAGCGATTTCTAYCGCTGTAAGGTCTTTCCTGCAACCGAATTACAATGTTGGATGAGTATCTAGTCAATTGATAACAATAAAGAGATTATTAACTTGTCAAGTGATCTATGAAAGAAACGAGAACCACAGAGATAAAAATCACATTTATTTATAAAGCAATTTACGCACATAAAAAAACATTGTTAGAGCCTTACAAAATTAACTTGGACAATAAAACGTTACCACGACACATTGTTATTGCTCATGAATAAACTTCATGAATCAATACTGTGATCAATTTATATATGAAATTGTACATTGCATTAATTGTAAAATAAAATATGGAATTTAATAGAATGAAATATGAAATGACTCTTTTAATACAGCCTATTATTGTRCCAATAAACGAATTTTGCAAAAACAACAAACAATTTGCTCATTCCATCMTATTTTTCGGGAGTGAAATACAGTATATTGAATATGTAGCGTTTTTTATTCTATACAAGGTGCTAAGAAGCGGCCACTTATCGCATAAAGTGTGTTTTAACAAAGACATTCATAAATTATCACGATTTTCGACTGAAAATAATCAATTAAAACATTTTAAACATATACTGAATACTGTTACCAACAAAGCTGTACTACATTGTATTTGGTTCACACTAATATCATAGTTATAGTAACTATGCTAATAAGAAAAAAAAAACACTTTTKTATCAATATATGTTTAGACAGTTCCAGTGATTAAACACTTGGGAAATCCTCTTATTTCCATTTTCGTAAATTACAGTAYTACAGATAATGTCTACAATGTGTATAATTATCATTGTCTAACATTTGAATCCACCAAGCATCCTCCAGACCAACCTTATTAAATATTCAGAAACATAAAAAACCAAACAAATTCTCAAAACAACTTCATATWWAACCCAAAATAAAATCTCAACACACTAAATATTTGGGAGTTTATTGGTTTAAAAAATGTTTGCAGCTGCCATATGTTGTATTTTTGAAACAAAAGTGTGTTTGAAAAAATATCCAGCTTTATGATGAGAATGGAAATGAAATTTGTTTTTCTTTATACAAACTATCTTTGCATATCATCATTTTACCATATGAAAACTGTTATAAACTGATTTATGCAATGTTCAATTAGCACACAATACCATTACAAATCCTTGCAGAATGCAGAAAACTGACTTAATTGAAAATCATCTGATAACAAAAACACAACTTAAAAATTTGAATCAATTGTTATAAAACAATTCTTGTTATCATGGCAAACAGTCTCCCAAAAACCAGTTACCAAATTATCCCCAAAAGCATACTACACAATTAATTCAAAGTTTATATGAAGTCTATATTTAATTGGAATATTACCTGAGCTTGATACGAGTGAATATCGATTTTGCTTGTTCATGTGTTACTCCAACTAATGTTTCGCCATTTATTGCTACAATTTGGTCCCCTTGTTGTAACTTGTTGTTCTGTAAGAATAAGAGAGAATAATCAATGTTTCTTCTAGTAAGTGACAGAGTGTGAATTGTCCAGAGTGGACTACAGGTACCTGCTAACACTTAGATCTGTGAAACCTCAAAATGCAAATAAAAGATCAACATTATTTAGAAATATTCTTCATTTGTTTCTTAAATAATCAATGTGCATACTGCTGGGGCTTTATATCAAAACACAGGCTCACATTGTGTGGAAATATTCACCTGTGTTCCTGTTTTCATTTCAAAAATATGAATTTACATGCATAAGTATTCTTGAATACACATAATCTTASACTAACCCAGTTAAGCTGAGTTTTATGTGACAAATAAAGCAAACATTAGCTTTGCTACTTTCAGTTGTCAACCACACATGCTAACACTTTTTGAACATGATTATTATAATATCATCAAGTTATGATTAATGTATTATGAATAATTTACTAAGCCAAAATCATACTAAAATTAAATGTTCTTTAGCACTCATTCAACAGAAAAATTAAATAAAAAACAGTTTATTCAGTAGCAGCATGATAACAAAAACACAAAATAATATTCACGGTAACTGCAATTTCCATAAATGCACCAATTGTAATGCCTAAATATCAATTTATTATAACCATATTTTTTAGTGTTTTGACCCTGTCAATGAAAACTCAAAGCTTCACCAAGCTACTTTCACTTAGAGTTTTCTCCCAAAGTGATAGTAACAGAAACAATAATATCTAAAGACTGTTTGATTGTTGAAGTTATCATATCTTACCATGTGTGCATCACCACCTTCAATCATGCTGTTGACATAAATATGAGGTCCTTCTGGTCTATTAGTTCCTCCAACAACGCATAAACCAAGCCCTGTGGTTACTGGTATTGTSACTACTTGCAGTTCCCCTGGGTTATCAAATATTGGYGATGGTGTACTTGAATGGCGATCTGTTTGGAGYCCAGAGTCAACAGTCACTTCAGAGTCACTTTGCAACTCTCTAGCTCCATGTTTTGGAGAGACCTTTGGTGAAGTATCACCATTTGGAGGATACATAGGTCCATTTCGATAGCTTGGTGAAGGTCCTAAGCCAAGATGCAGCAAACTGCTGTTCTGATAAGGRGGAGGGTCAACAGGACCTGGAATTATAAACAATACCATATTGTTAGACTGCTGACAATATATTTACAGGCTCTTGAGCCCCAATGAATACTGTTCCTTGTGAAAGTATTTAATATTTGATGGTGATATTATAGACAATTGTGCATTTGAATCTTATCCAGCATTAAGAACATTAAGACACAAATAATTCGGCAAGTCAGGGAAAATCCCATGATACGGGCTAGGGAAAARCACTACATTTACCTGGATTGGATAATTCAGAAGCTGATGGTAAGTCAACTGCTTGCATTCTCTGTAAGCTTGGAGGTGGTCTGTCTAGTGAGTTTGAGGGAGACCAGTTTGGACTKCCATAACGACCTAATGCTAAGGGTGACATTCTTCCTGCACTCATCACCCATGACCTTTTTTCTATCAATGGAACAAACAAATACTGATGTATATATGTATTTTAAACACTCCTACATTTTGCTTATCTTGCAACACCATCTAAACAAAATGCTAGAGTGTGGTCCTGGAGTTGCTATATAAAAAATGATAGACTATGCAGCTCAAAAGTGYRAGGAATGTTGATGGAGGGGTGAAACACTGTGCAACATCATTGCAAGTTGCTGCAATACTTTGCAAAGGGAGACCTGAGTTCTACTTTATGCAATAACAAAAAGCAGCCACTGTTGTAAGTGCAGCATCATGAAAGAGCTCCTTTTTTGACTGGTTGCTTATATTGGTTATAACATTATTATTTGATAATATCATTGTATTACTTACCCATAGTGGGCGATGGTGTTGAGGCTCTTGAACTTCCTCTACTGTTACTCCTTAGCAAATCAAAGGCACCAGGACCATTGAGGTTTAGTGTATTTCCACTGAGGGCTGCCATAAGTGAYGTGAACTCTTGTCTTCAAAGTGGAACACAACAAAATGCTTAGTATTAATGTAGATGAAAAGAAACTAAAAATAACTAATATTTAAGATATAATGAGACACAACAGCAACAATAGTGTAACTTAAAGGGTGTGAGAGTTGAGTAGTAACATATTTTGTAGTACAGCGGACATTGTGGCAGCTTTGTTGTCGAATGGGTCATTGATTGTTAGTGTCAATTGTTCATAACTCTCCCTAACATGGCCATCAGTCTTTTGTTTTTTTTAATTCTTAAATAACTGATTGAGAAMCAGCAATGATGGAAATGCTTTTAATGACCAAGAAATGTTTTTTTTAACTTGGCACATGATTACACAGGGAGCCCATGTGAAGAGAACCCACAAATATTGTACATGACAATGCAACAGCACTGAGTTTTCTGTAAATCACTGTACCTTGAGTGGCTGTCTCTACTGATCAATAGCTTGACATTGTTACTTTCAGCTGCTTTTCGCAATATTGATATTGCTCTGACAGAAAATATATCATATGAGTAACTAAATAATTGATGTTTTTAAACATTTTAGAAACCTTTTTTACCATGCTGAGTACACTTACTTATCATTAGAGACCCCTAACATTGATTCTCCATTGACTTCCAATATTTGATCTCCTTCTTGAAGATGACCTTTATTGATGAATAAACAAAGAATTGATTTATCGCATTTACTTCAGTTAAAATACTAGACAGTACTGAAAGTTTCAAATATTGGTTAAAGCATTTGTTTTGTGTGGGTGGAGATGCCAACAAGTTGTGCAGGATGACATGAATTATAATGTGCACTGCAAGCTCTATTGATATAATTGCAGATTGATGCATGTGTGGCTATTAATTATTATTTTTGCTTTTTACATTTCCTGATAAGTAAAGGTATAAGCATAAAGCATAGATTTAGAGATCAGTGATGTGTGCCAGGCAATATTGTTCATTGTTATTTCTCAGCTCCCTAGATGTGCTTCCTTATTCAGCAGCTTCAAGGCGATATTATAATCCATGTACACCAAAACAAGTTTATATCATCAATTGACAATACAATGTTATTCATGATGGCAAATAATGTTGTGAATAATTTCACTAACCTTCTGCCTCTGCTCGTCCTCCAGCTAATATTTTCTTGACAAAAATCCCATAATCACTGCCACCAACTGTACTTTTCCCTCCAACTATYTTAATACCTATAATACAAAATAAAGGATTTTTTATTAAAATTTGAAAGCAAAATAGCATCTAGAGGGAGAGTGAWTGTGCATGTTTCATGTGAGTTGTGATTTTATTCTAAGATACAAAGGGATTTAGCCAATCAACCTGCAGACATATTTTATTACCACCTATTGAACTGAATTCAATTTCTTACTTTTTCCAGGAAATTATTCACATATGTATGATATATGGAAGGTGAAAGTATTCACAATAGGATTTCAAAGTTAGTTCAACTAGATACATATAATTTTTTCATATATAAATCATTTTGCACTGACCTAAACCACTGTTTCTGCAGTTCCTCACAATTATTAGATCAGGATCCATTTGCTTAAAACTAAAAGCTACTGTAAATGAGAGAAAACAATGCATAATGATATAATTGATAAATCTGTAATCTGTAAAGAATAACAAACCAAATATTGCCTTGAACTAATTGTTATAATGGACATCTTTGGGATTGTAATTCATTGTCCAATAAAACTAGACTTACAATGGTGGAAAATGGTCAGGAAATGAATGACGAATACAAAAGGACAGTTATTTTTAGAGTTTTCTTGATGTCAGAGATGGTAAGTGTCTGTTAGTAACACCATAGTGACTGCAAAGAACAAGTTAACTGTATATATTATGAATGTGTGTCATTGAAAATCAACAAGTTTGTATAYCTTACTAAAATGTAATCCAGTTTTTACACAATATTTTGTACCAGCTGATTAACGTTTTTTCTTCATATTCTGGAAGGAAATACAATTGTACATCAGTGATAAAATTRATTAATTCTTTTCGTGGAAAATATAAACATCATAAAATTAATCTATTCAACAAATAATAATTTCCCTTCAAATCCGAGCTTATATTCAGCAATGTATGAATAAAGGTAATATTGTGCTTACGTTTGCATGCTCTATACGTAACAAATACAGTGTTGCCAGGAATTTCTTGATTACAGAGATTGTTTWAATTAATGCAAGGCACTTAAAATGCAATACTTGTGTTTTAGTTTTTTCAAGTGATTTTCTACTTAGATCCAGATAGCAATCGCTCGCCAAAGAAAAGAGAGTTTGTAAACTAAAACAATTTCATGTTAGCTTACAGGCGAACTGACGTACAATAACKTAAGAAAAATAGAATCTTCTACATTCCAACAACAAAATATTTATCTAAACATCAAAGATACTAAAATGGAATAGGCAATAACACTAAAATATTTGATGTTTAACAGGAATTCTTGATATCAATAATCATTAGTGGCGACGATCGTTCATATCCATTGGAAACCAAGACGCTTTCTAACACGACCTCAAGCAAAACTTCACAGCTCGCATCCGCTAAACTATTTAGCCTAAAAAACACTACAATAATACCTCAAAGTCATCCAGAGACGTTATCAAGCCATTAATGCTTCACTGATATCGATTTGAAAACAAAAATTGACTCATGTAAACATGTTATGAGCGGGAAACTCTCAGCCGTGTTCACACCTGAATGCAGGCCGCCATCTTGGTTAAACTCGACCCAGCCAATCAGCATGAGTGTACAAGAAAGCCACTCYAGTGTTCGCCGTAGGACGATCWCGCGTGCCTTGAGGAATTGACAACAACTTTTCAAATTGACAATCTATGTATCACAATCAAATCATCAACAACCACAGGGTGCGAATAATCAGAATTTCACAAAAGATCTCAATTAAAAGCTTCGCAAAAACTCGCTTGGATTTGTGATGGCATATTTCCAAAACGTAAATGTTTAGAAATGTAAACAAACTCAACCGAATCGGTTACAAATGCGTACTGGCAAAAACCACTTATCTAACATTTTCAACATACTTTGAAGGTAATTCCTCTGTTAAGTCGGGACCTATTCAAAKATTTTTCTCGTGCCATTCGATGGAATATTAAATAAATTCGTAAAAATGTCTATAGTCTATAGACACGAGCAATGGCCATTTCGAGGACAGTTGCTAATGACAGCTGAGTACGATGTTCTAAAAATACTCTAAACAATTTACGAGATATGTCAAAATGATAGACACTAAGAATAGTAGTAGTACTTGGTATATCGGCTGGATTAAATTAGATTCATATAAAGAGTTAATATCAAACTACCTCGCTAGCTGAGTAAAACAATTCCTGAAAGAATTTTAACAAAACATTGTAGCTCTTTATACAGTGATTTATAGGGATTATGTGAGCGTTTGACATTATAAAAAAAGTTTTTGTTTTCAAGACTTCGTCCTATACACAAGTGAATATTGGGCAATCGCTTAATATTAGTATGTGACCATTATAATTTATAGATTGACTGACTCACATACCTTAAAAAAGAGCTCAGCGGTTAAGGAACTCGCAAAGTCATAATACTGTAACATTACATCTATAAAAAAAGATTTTTCCTCACATTAACAGCTGTTCGATTGATAAGTCATCCGTCGTGCGAGTTCGCAGTTAAGCTACTATTTCTGTGTTCATGCAGCATGAAGTGGCTACCAAAAATACCATTTGTAGTACGTGGTCAACAGCACACGGGCCCAGGCCGCCAGGCCCACGTAAATGTACCATAGCAACTCAAAAATGGGAAAACGATTTACCAATATTGTTTATTCTACCCTTTAAATCTATTCACGCTATGATTCGCTTTGGGAAATGGACAGGAAAAATAATATCTATACATATTAAAGTTAACAACATATTCTCTTAAGGCTTTTGCGAAACTATTCTTATAAACTKTTACAAAGACTTACTACGTATACACAGAAAGCGCTACCAGAGGGACAGTTAAAAAACCCTGTATTACATTATCGACGGTTTTTTGACAAATATAGACCTCAGCTCCTGTACTTCTTCTCCCAACATGCACTAAAAAAACCTGCGCCGCCCCYGTATCCCACACAAAGTTACAAGGGAAACGGCAGAAAACATCTGGACTGGGCAACCTACAATATGATACGGTAGTTGATCAGAGGAGGTTGAGCATTAGTCATGTAATGATGAAGCGTGCACTCCCATTTGCCTCGGCACCAACAATCATTCGAATAGCCTCCGTAGCAGACGTTCCAAGCGGTTCGATTCTCTCCCGCAGAAGAGAATCGAACCGCTTGGAACGTCTGCTACGGAGGCTATCATTCGAACTCGTTTTCCGTAAACCGTCACAAATCGTTACCAKGACATCTATTCAAAAACTGGAAGGAGATACCCCTGGAGTCAATAATATAGTTTTTCTTGCATTGATTGATTTTCTTTTTGACCACATCGATTCAATGAGGTCAAATCACTCCATCATTCGTACTGTACCGTTTGTAAAACCACGCCCAATAAAATTCCTGTTAAACTAAAAATACTTTACTGAAACACACACAACCATTTTGTGCTTTTATTCATTAAATATTCGAGTGATTGCATTTTTATATTCAATTCAATTCATAATTGTAATTGWTTTTACAAACTCAAAATAACATTTACATGAAAATTCAAATTCTAACTAAAACWTATTCTAGAAATAGCAATTTTTTATATCTCCAATTCTCTTTCTTTTGGAAAAAGCATGCATTATTTAATAATTGCCTACAAAGTAAGTAAAAAAATATTTTCTATATAATGAAAATTGTAAGGTATTCAAGGTTGTGCTATGCTCGTTCGTTGGTCGATATTTGAGTGTATTGAGTTGTTGCTGTCTTTTCAGCGGGAGGGACCAGTCGACGAAATGACAGTAAAAACAGTACCTAAGAATGCGGGAAAAGTCGTTAGTGAGTGAAAAGCCGCTGTTACACTGTACAGTTTTGTCAGCAATTTGTCTCACGCCGTTGCGACACAAGTAGTTGCGCAGAAAATCATAGCCTTGTTACGACCGAAAACCGAAATGGATGCTTCGGAGAGTAGGTAACAAATTCTCTCTCCAAAACTGATTTCAAAGTAATGTCGATTGCAAAGTCCGAACGTGCACCTGAAGGATAGTGTTGATTTTTTTTGGATACATACCGCCAGAAAGGCTTCCAAACCAGCCATTACACCAAGTATCAAG